TTAATTTATCTTGCTTTTCTTGGATCTTCTTCATGATGGCAAATATTTTTATGACTCCAATTGTTTTTATAGAATGTGCAAGAATTTCTACTTGAAATTGAGTTAAGTATTCAGGCCTAGGGCAATCCCATCTTCTTCTATGAAGATTGATTTGCCCTAAAACTTAGTACTGAAACTTTTTGAATGATTTTGCTGGTTTCTTGAAGTATAAAGTTTTTTCATAGCAACCTCTTCCCTTTGACCTCTTTCCACACCCTGTGACCACATGGAATGGAACACTTTGAAACTTACTTCTTTCATTTTCAGAGTCTGTGTGTTTCTTCTGGTATCAGCTAATACTCCAAGTAGAAAGTGCCTCCAGGTATGTATCCAATTTCTCTGGATTTCTTCCCTGGGATTATCACTAAATGACTCCTCATTATTTTAGTGGATCCTTGATACTTTAGAGGGAAAAAAAGTAGCACTAAGTATTTACAAGCTGCTTAATTTACATAATGAGTGAACTGACCTGATTTTCAGATTCACCATCACTGGGAGATATAGATCTATATTCCATGCTTTTGATTACTGGAAAGAATTTTCCTCTACATTTGTACATTCTGTTCTTTCTAGGGTAATATTGATTGTCTAAGGAGTGAAAATTGTTTTTTATGCAAACTTATCTTTTAAAAATATCAGTGCTAAATTTAAAAACAACAGCAAGAAATTTTAATCTTCACTGACTTATGATCTATTTTCTTCACCTACTATAATGATACTGGTTTAGTCTATATATTTTTTAAATGTATTTAATTGTGTGCCCAATATTACTCAAATTGATTTCTTGGACATTATTGACTTTCTATAACTCACTGGTACTAAAATTTCATTGAAAATATTTGAATATGCTCTAATCAAGGTGTGTCATTACCCTTCAATTATCTACAGTTTTGACTTTTTTATTGTCTCTATATGCATAATTATCATTTTATGAATCATCTTATTTCCTTGTTGGTATGTATCTTTAGTCATTATATAAGGACTTATTTACTATTACTTTATGCATCTCTTCTTTATGGTTTGAAGTCAAAACAATTGTTTGGTGTATTTGTAAGAAATATTGCTTCCTTTCAAAACACATCCTTCTGATGATTTTCTCTAAAGGATCTTTCCAGTACCCTATAACTCTGCCTCAGTAATGTCTCACTCTTCAGTGCCAGGGGATGATGGAAAAACCTGCTCATTGGGAAAAGCCGTTCGGATCTCATTTTGAAAGTCACACTAAATTCCTGATTAGAGGCTAAGCTGAAAGGAATTTGACATATTTTGTACATCATTTCCTCCATCTCCCCAAAACGAAGTAGTTCTACATCTGTTGTATTTAATTCATATAAAGTAGCATGTAAATCTGTAATTTTCAAAGATGATATTTGAGAACCAATGGTTCAAGGTAGACCCCTGATGCTAGAGCGTGACGATTTCTTACAAGTTCACTCATTTTCATGTTTTCCTCATTGCTCATTGTTTCAACTTCTGATAGCTGGCATCATCAGGACAGGGATCTGCTGGAGCAGATTGCATCTTTCTTTCTAATCTATTACGTTTTTTATCAAAAAAGTCAACACTTTCTAGTTTTTGCTTATCAGATCTTATATTCTGATATATTTTGATGTTAATTTTGTTTATATTAATTGCTTTACAATGTCTATCTACCTAAATGCATATTATCAATGTCATATCATTGACCATTGTCTGCCCCAGCTTTGATACTCTGGTGTAGCTGAATGTTTTGTGTGTTCTGTCCACGACCCAAGTAAACACACTGAGGCTTATATTTTAATTATGAACTGCTCAACTGTTAGCTCAGGCCTACCACTGACTAGCTCTTACATTTAAACTCAGCCCATTTCTGTTAATCTATATGTTGCCACGTGTTCCATGGCTTTACCTGTGTGCCGTTACATGCTGCTCCCTGGACGGCGGGCTCATGTCTTCCTACTCAGCCTTCCTGTTCCAAGAATTCTTATCTGCTTACCCCACCTATGCTTCCTGCCTGGCTACTGGCCAATTAGCATTTTATTTATCAACCAATCAGAGCAACACATTCACAGCTTACAGACCATCCCACAGCACTCTGGTTTACATTCCAACTCCAGGAAATATTGGTTCCTTTTCCACAATATTCTTATCTATCTTCTCCCTTACATCACTAGTCGAACAATTCTAATATAACCCCTATGTCTCTTGTTAAGACATTTCTAAAGTTTATTCTCTCTGATTCTAATATCAACAGCACGTATCATTCTATGTCATAATCTCCGTATGCTTGAAAACAGTATTCCTAGTTGCTCACTTTCTACCCTGTAATGTAAGGGTTCCCAGGTTGGCTTTCAAACCTAACTTGTTCATTTGTTATAGTATGTCCTTTGAGCTTTATGTGAAGTTTTTGGCTTCCCTGTAACTATATGGTAGACTACCTGTGATCTCAGATGTAATCTGTATGTATTTATTTGTAACATCCAATCCATCTGGCTAATGTCTCAAAGGAAAGTGTAATGGGCATCTTCTTTTCCTAGCCTTATGGACTCTCATATGGTTACAGTGACTCATTTGTCTCCATACTCTTATAATCTCATGCTATAGATGTTCCCATGAAACTTTACTGTCCTTATCTGTAGGCTCTGAGAGCTGAAATGGAATTATTTGGCTTTGCCGACCCTGAGTGTCTGGCAAAATGCTTGATCCATAACCAAGGCTCAGTAATTTATGGAATAAATTGGTGGGTGCATGAATAAATAGGCAAGCTGAGAATCATAAAACAACAGGAAAATGACTACCCAGGCATCACTAAAATTTGCTTACAAGATTCTAATGGGAGAAGTTGAGGGTAATAGAGCAACAAACATAATATTATCTAAGAATTATTTCACATTGATGAGTTGAATAAGTGAGCACGTTTGCCTGCATTTCTACTTTGGTGGGCTCAGGGGCATAACCTCATCAAGCACTAACTCTGACAGAGGGTGTAGAAAGCTCTTCTTTGTGATTAGTCAAGATTAATTTATTGTTAGATATTTAAGTGAATGCATTCAAATGTAGACTTTGTGCTGGATAAGGCAAGAGATAATTTTTTAAGCAATATTAGTCTAAAAAACAACAGCTATTCTCAAGATGAAGAAATGAATATTTAATGTATTTGTCTGTCAGACCATTTTCAAATGCAAATCACCCAGTACATCTGTGTGGAATTAGGAACACACTGGCATTTAGCTGGGCATTCACGCTCACAGATAAGCAGCTACTTGCTCTGAAAAGTAGTTGTAAAGCACTGAGAAAAGACAGTCTTCCTGCAAGGTCCTTTGGATCATTTCAGCCTTTTGAGGTTTGCAACTGTTTTAGGCTGTGTTCCGACTTTGGCATTTGAAAGGAGAGCACACTCATGCTGATCAAATGCTAACAGTTTCTTAAGCAGCCTCAAAAATAGCATGAGTTTTTGTTTAAAATACACAGCTTGACTTAACAGTAAGAAAGATTTAAAAATTTTAATATTTCTGTTTCCAGGGAGAAGGGACCATTGTTGGCATTCTAAACCTGTTATTATTTGGCTAGACTCGCCTTTTACATTTTATGCAAGTCCCTATGAATCTACTTATTTCCCCAAACATTCTCTCTGGTTTTTAGTTTTTATTTTTTGAAATTAAAATATAATTGCATCATCTTCCCCCTTTCCTTTTCTCCCTCCAACCCTTTGGTGCACACCCTGCTATCGCCTGGATCCCTCTCAAATTCATAGCCTCCATATTTCTTCAGTCATTTTGTATATCATTGTTTCTCAGGCTGCATGGCAAACTAATGGATAATGGCTGATGGGCTAGAGACAGTGGTGCCTTGCTCTTTTCCAGTTTTACTCTCCTTGAGTTTTCATTCTTCATTCTTTCATTCTTCATCTTTTAGTGTATCTTCCTATCAGTGTTCTGATGGCTGAGAAGGTAAGTGTCCTTGTCTTCATCCTGGCGCCCTGAATTTCACCCCCTGAATGAACATGGTAGAAGTGAGAATTGACTTCACCAAGGACTTACCCTCTGACTTTCTATGCAAATTTCTCTGTCTCTCTCTCTCTCTGTCTCTCTGTCTGTCTGTCTCTCTCACTCTCTCTCTCTCTCCCCCTCCCTCCCTCCCTCTTTTCTCTCTCTCCTCTTTCCTTCTCTCTTACACACAAATAAATAAATACATATTAATATATAACTTGCTATATGCTGTGGAATATCTGCCTTCAGCATGTTACCAAAATAAATTCTACCAGGAAACAGAGTAAAGTTTGTGCTTATCCCCTACATAAACAATACATCTGACAATGGACTCTCCCTCTCTTTGCAGCTTTCTGTTTCTTGTAAGTCTTCTGCTAGGGGTGGGACTTACTGCCCACCTCCCTTCTCCTTGCTGAGATATGGTGTGGCTTGAGGTCGCTCGGGACTTGTAACTGTTCTCATGTCTACTTCTGTGTTTACATGTATAATAACTCTGATTTATTATTGCTCTGGGTTTTAAAGTTCCCCTACCCCATATTCCCTTCTTCTAGAATTATCCTTGTGGATCATTCGCTAGTGAGATGCCATATGTTTATGACTATATGGGCATCACCAATCTGACTTGATGGGTAAAGACATCAACTTGTGTCATGCTGAGTAAGACATAAGCTGGATGGGGAGAGAAGAGGTAGTTGAACTGGGAGGAATTGGGGAAAGAGTGAATTTGGTCGAAACAGGTAAGAAGTTCTCAAAGATGTGTATTTAACATCAGCCCCTACTCAACACAAAATTCTGTGCTTTTTTGTTTTGTTTTGTTTTCATTTTTTGTTTGTTTGTTTGTTGTTGTTGTTACATGCTGTCTATGCTACTTGCAGCTGTGCCAACATCTAGAATGAGTCACATGGTTACATACCGTGATTGTTCTCAGGTGTCTGAGAATTTAGTCAACTGAACCTGTAGACTAATAACTATATTTTTCTAAAAAGCCAAGTTATACTTACCTGGCTGGGGAGATCCTATGACTAAGAATCTGGTTTTCCCAGGATGAAGCTCATCCACTACCCTTCAGATGTGCTGACCTTGTGATTTCCACTAAAGTGGAGGAAACTTAATTACATAATTTGTGGTAGTAGAGTACTATAATCATGCTTTCCTCTTACAATACAAAAGGTAAGCTATACAAGAATTTTTGTTTTCAAGAAATAAAAACTTGCACTGAAATGAATTAGACTATAAAATGAAGCTTTTTGATTAGGTAGCTATACTCTAAGATAAACATAGCTTTAAGCAAATTTAAAGTCAAGAACCAAAAGGATTCTCCTAGGTCTCTATATAATTTCTATAATAAGCTTCCTTTAAAACTGTGATAACTCTACACCTATGCTAGAGAATAGAGCTTGCATGCCAGAACAGCAGTACCTATCAGGGGACAGATTGGTAGGACTCAGCCAAAGAGGTGTGGTCCCATTTGAGCAATGTATTCACGGTCAGACAGATTCACCAATTAAGAGGCTGTTCTAAAAATGAAAGCATGCAGGAATGAGAAGAACTACCTGCTAGGTCCAATCAGGAACACCAAAGGGTGTATTGATCATCAGATGAATGAGTTTAGGAATGTATCTCTGCCAAACTACTGCTTATAGCATAACAATAAGCTTATTGGAAAGACTGACTCCATTGAGAATTAGATTTGGGTAATAACTTCAAGCTATTGTCTTGAATGAAGTGTCAATTTCCTTGTGTCAAACAAAGTATCTCTGAAACACTATAGCTTTCACTGATTCTTCCCAACTACTCTCCTCCCCTTTGGGGAAGTAAATTTTCCATGTGCATTCTCTTGCAGGCATAAATATATGGCAGTAATCCTTCTCCAATTTTACTCAATCAAGCAATCATGAATAGTGTTTTATTCTTCCCTTCTAAATATGCCTGTGTTTTTCTCTCATCACCTTTAGGTTCTCCACACAGTGTGCTATTGCTATAACCAGTCTCAAGGTTGAAACTCATGGTTCCAAGGACAGCACCAGTAAAAACTGTATCTAAACAAAGTGAGACACTGTAGACAGGAATATTAGGATTAACTAAGATTGTTTAGAAATGCAAAGTCTTGTGCCTTAATATAGCTCCATGGTGATACTGTGTCCCCCAATATATTGTGCACCCTAATGAATTTAACTGGGGTCAGAGAACAGAACAGCCACTAGATAGATATAGAAGCCAGAAAATGGTGGCACACACACCTTTAATCCTATCACTTGGGAGCGCGAGATCCATCTAGATCTCTGTGACTTCAAAGCCACACTGGAAACAGAGGCAGGTGTGGTGGCACACACCTTTAATCCAGGACATGCAATCTCATGTCTTGCTTGGGAAAGACACATGCCTTTAATCCCAGGAAGTGATAGCAGGAAGCAGAAAGGTATATAAGGTGTGAGGACCAGGAACTAGAGACTTTTAAGCTTTTAGGCTTTTAGCAGTAGTTCAGCTGGGATCCATTAGGATGAGGAACCAGAGGCTTCCAGTCTGAGGAAACAGGATCTGATGAGGAGTTGTTGAGGTGAGGCTGGCTATAACTTGTTCTGCTTCTTTGATCTTTCAGAATCACCCTAATATCTGGCCCCAAGGTTTTTCTATTAATAAGACCATCTAAGGTTCATGTTACATAGCTCTACTTGTTAGAGTATGGATTGTGAATAAACTCACTTGAAACAAAGGCATTTTTAATTAGAAAGATTACTAAGTTATGGCATATTCTTTATACATTAATATCAAACATCTGGATAACACGTCCATATTACTGGCATATACATGATTTATATATTTTAGGTTTAATTGAATCAAATATATTCTAGATAGTTTTCTTCAAGGATGCAGCTCCTGAGAGCCTGTACATGTTCCAGTTGATAGTCTGATACCCACAAACATTCTAGCAGACCTAAGAGGACTTCATGGGATATTTTAAAAGAACAAATTAAATTAGAAGGGAATGGTGTTGGTGAATATGGGAGGAGATGGAGAGGAGGAAAAGGAGGCTGGAATTTATCAAAATAAATTATATACATGCATATAGATACAATTTAATTCTGAACCTAATACACAAAAACAAATAAATGTCCTTATCATAAGATGTTTAGGCCCTTGCCAGTACTCTTCAGAAGCCTGCATGACTCTTGGGTATCGTAAGAGGGAACCTCCCTCCTAAGAAAATTAAGAGCTTATGAGAATGTCATGTGCTCAGATGACATATTTAGAATTTGATTAATATTTTTCTTCAAACCAGAAATGCCATCTTGCTCAGGTCATTAGTATGACAATGACAATGAAAACACCCATTAGGAAATACATTATGGAGAGTTGGAGCTGAACTGCAGACCAGTAAAATAAACCGGGTGCACGAATGGCCTTAATTTTAAACATAGGGTCACAACTGTCCCTACTGACTCAAGCACTAAAGCTGATTGTTTTTGCTTATGGAATAACACCACAAATGTTCTGGGCAGAAACCAAGGTAATTCTATTTTATTTCTCATGCTCCTTCTGTTATTATAGTGGAGCCTGGAATACCCAGTTGTGTAAGTTGAACCCCTGATATGGCAGGCTCAAGCCAAGATGAGCAAAGTCTGCTTGTGGCTGAGATGAAGTTGACTCCATCCCATGAGTGTGCCTCAGCAATAACAATTTGAGTCCTTTTTCTAACCAACGCAGAACCTAAATCCACACTATTTACCGCTACCTCATTATGCATCACTGAGGTCCTGTGGTTCCCTGGTATCAGCATCACTGAAGCCGTATATAAATCTCTACTGCAACAGAAGGTAGTTCACGGGTACCCAGTTTCAGCTGTGTTTCATTCATGTATTGAACAATTTTTATGGAGCATTAAATTTTAAAGAAAACAACAGAAGAACATATTCTCCATGCTAAAATTACAAAAGAATTACACATCTTAGTAATAGGATAGAAAAGTTCACTTTGTAGATGTAAGAAACCTAAATTTAAGAGTATCTAAATCTTTAGGGACTTAATTAAGATTCTTATTTTATTCTAATGGTGCTATCCTTACCATTGGATTCAGAAGGTCATATAAGACTACTTAATCACTAAGTAACAGTTTCAGGAAATAAAATATGCATGTATAAATATACATATACATGTATATATATATATATATATATATATATATATATATATATATAAAACGTTGCTCAAACATAGAAGTGAAGCTTGTGCATAAGCAGATACTTCTAAGAAAAGAGAGAAAGAAGATATATGGTGCCAATGCTTTTCTTATCAAGTTTCCATTATTTGTAATGAGGAAATACCCTTCTGACTACACTTTTGTCTTCTACCTTCCAGACAAATCATGTTTACTCTTTGAAAAGTCAGAGTGTGAGGACTTACATCAGGGATGAATTAGCACCCGAAGCTAAAAGTATTCACACAGTGATGAAGAAAGAGCCAAAGTTTTCCTGTTGATGTTATATAATATTTCTATTGAAAACTTTTAATAGCCGTTACTCAGAGTCTAGAGGAGGGTCATGGAAGGAGGCAGGAGTCAACACCCACAGCAGCTGTGGACTGTGAAGGTTCTGATGGAGTTGGTGTAGGCAGGCAGAGCAAGTGTATCTTATTCCTTGTTATCAGACTGCAATGATTTCCACGGACAATTACATCAAATTGCTTAGAAAAAAACAGCAATGTTTTTATCTGTGATATTAGGTTTTCTAAATATGTATTTATCATTTTAAACACTACTGAATCTAATTTCTTCCAAAATTAGGTTATAGCAACAGCATCCTTAATCAGCAAGAACTAAAATATCGTTTCCTTTGTTAATGAATGTAAAATAAATTTCATTAATGTTGTTATATATTTTTAGTTATACAGCTGCAAAAAGTTTCATTTCTCTTGTAAATATTTTAATAGCCATTGATTAAAATGAAAAGATTTTGTTTCTCTTTCCTGAATGTGTCTCTGGCAACAACTCTGATAAAAAAAAAGTTTAAAAAACAAACAAACAAACAGAAAAGCTATGCTGTGGCTCTTATCTTTATGTCCTCGTGGACCAGGACTTCTATGCTTTAGAGTAGCATCCTTACATGTTGGGAAAAAAATGAAGATTGACTGATTTTCTGCTTTAAATGTGAAATGATTTATCAAAGACATGCTGTAATTGTGGGAGAGTAGAACCCTTAAGCAAAAATATAGAAGAAACTTAGAAACCATAAAATTATAGTATCAAAACAATTGTATAATATCAGCTGGTATGATTTTAACAAGTTATTTCTCATAAATGAATTAATTCTTATGTAATCAAAATCTTACAGAAGTGGAATTAAAAGAAAAGATATGTGTTTTAATACTGTACAAATTTCAGTATTTCAGAAATAATTGCTTTGTGCCAAGTCAGTAGAAGATTACTATTGTTAAATTATAATTCTGAGAAAACTTCTTTGAAAGAAATCAATATTTGCTACTTTTAGGAGTTTAATATCTTATATTACTTGATAATTTAATATCGTGCATGTAGTCTCAAGCCAATGTTCAGAAATTTCTAATGTTCAGCCAACTTTAATAACTGAGGAAAACTAATAAAAGTTTAGTCATTCTCCAGAAATTACACAATGTTATGAGGAAGAAAGTAACTGAAAAGCAGAAAAGTGACATAATTTTAAATCTATCCCATGGCCTTGACTTGAAAACTGGCCGTCTTGGTTACTGATGGCTAACTGCTTTACTAGATGTTAACTTCGTGGTTATGAGGTCTTACCTTAGAGAATTCTTGTTTGACATGGAGCCCTACATGTCAAATTCACTCACAATTAGAGCTTAGACAAGTTAATATCTCTAAGCCTTAAATTCTTCATATCTAAAGTTAGTGTTTATGATAGAGGCTGCTCTGTAGAATTATTGAAAATATTAATATTTAACAAATTATTATAGGCAAAAAGGCACAATGCAAGTCATGACATGGTTTCACGTATAAATGTACTGTTTGTTATATTTCGTCTTTTATACTTGACCATTATATTCTATACACTGTATCCTTTGTGCATTATTGATTTAGTTTTTTTGAGAATTTCATACAATGAATTTTGATCTTATTTATCCCTATTCTTCCAATAAATGCCTTCCAATAAGGTATAGTTTGAGTTATA